CTACTGCATCGGAATCACTCCTTACAGGTGCTGTTGGTGGTCTTTTATGCACATGACCAAACAATCTAAGTCTACTTTCTCATTTTATCACCTTTGACTGAATTTCTGATCCTATCTTTTTTTTTTTTTCACTCACCAATTGCAGCATATGCATTTCTGCCACACTTATTTTTTGGGTATGTTGCTTCTTGACTGCCCAACACTTTGCTCCATACAGCATAGCTGACTTTACAACTGTTTTGTAGAAATTTCCTTTTATTCTAAGTGGTATTCGTCTTGTCATATAAAGCTTCAAATGCACCCCTCCATCTTGCCCATGTTGCTCTAATTCTATGGGTGACATCCTCCTCAATCTCCTCTTGGTTTTGAATTGTCTTGTCAAACTAAGGTATTAGAAAAGGTAGGTCACTTTGAGTTATCTCTTGATCTCCAATCCTAAGTTTACCCTGATTTGCACTATTATTATTATTATATTTATATATTACATCCATATGTATATCAATTTATTTGTAATATATACAATAGATGGGGGTGAGGCTAAAAATAGCACCCAAATGCATTGCAATTTACCACTCTCAATACCCACAACACAGGGCACTTGAAGACAAAATTCCTTCTCTGAAGTCTCTAAATGCAGACAAAGCCTAAGCCTTAGCCTGGTYCATGAGATGGCTGGAGCATTTTCCTTATATTCAAATGAAAGGCCTTTGTATTCTTTAAAAGATCYTCCAAGTTTTGTTCTTTCCACATTGCTCCAAGATGGGCAGAAACTATGTTCCATAAATTTGCTCCCCCAATTCTTATAGAACAATCCAACGAAGAAGAAAACACAGCATGGAAGGTGCTGTAGTGCACCAACAGAGAAAGGAGAAATTCCACATGGATTAAGGAAGAAGTATTTGGACAGTCAAGGAATATATGATTGACTGGTTTTTCCTTCTTGTTGCACATGTTGACTGAGATAATTTGGTTTAGTCATGTGTATTGACCACCACTGAGGGGTGGCATGGTGCAAGTAGATGGCTCTAAAAGAGCAAGGGAAGGAGCAAAGACAACATGGTCTGTTAAGTGGTAAGAAATGATCTGATAAGTTATAAGTTGACAGAAAACCTTTCTCTTGATAGAGCACAAATAGTTGGGATTTGGGCTGAATTTATTTTCATTCTGAGGACCTTGTCAAGGTAAATCTGCATATAAAGGCTTGTACTTTAGGAGTGAAACATGTTCCCCAAACACAATCAGCCTCAACCACATGATCTTTCTTCTTTTGTGTGCAGGCTCAATCAGATGGTTTTTGATTTTATGTATTATTGYGAATTGATTGACCTCTTGTATAGCTTTTCTTGAGGGGAGAGGCATTTAAGTCCTCCCTTCTAGGTTTATCTCTGTGCTTCATTAATAAAATGTAACAGCAACCACCCTTCCACTGGGAATAATTTTTGGGGTTAAAAAAGCCTCAACCAATAAAAGGAACACATTGAGGAAATGCAAGGGCTGAGCTATGCAAGATTTATAATAAGTCATCTGATCAATCTTAGGGCATCATTAGGGTATGTATATAAGGGGCAAGTTACGTGAAAAGGATGAGGATAAGGAGAGCCATTTGATATTCATTTGCAACTGGGTRTCGGAGGAAGGAGATGAAGGGTTGTCAAGGCGACGCCTAGGCGTGTAGGCGCTTTTTGGGGCTCGCCTCGCCCAAACGCCATATGGTCTCAAGTGATTGTATATAACCTTTTTCCTGTTACCTGTTTGAATATTCTTTTTATATTATAAGTTTATAATATAAGTATAGACCTGATGCACCGAATCATTATTTTTATTTTTTTCATATTATAATAAGTTTTTATTAATTTCTAATCTTCTTAATTGGGAGATATGATATACGAAGAGAGTTCGAGAGATATCCTTGTCAAGGTTCCAAGTTGTATGCCTCTGAAGAACAAAGGGAAATCAATCACATACAAGGTATGCTTTCATCTTCTTCTTCTCCTCCTCCTTCTGGAACAAAAAACAGGGGCTCCGCCCCTTCTTTCGTCCTCCTCTTCTCTTTGTCTTCTACTTCTGGAATAAAAAACAGGGGCTCTGCCCCTTCTTCTTTTTCTTTTGTTGAGCAAAAACAGGGGCTCCCCCTCCTTTTTTTATTTTGGAACAAAAACAGGGGCTCCGCCCCTTCTTTCCTCCTCCTCTTCTCTTCATCTTCTACTTCTGGAACAAAAAATAGGGGCTCTGCCCCTTCTTTTATTCACCATTTCACTATWTTCTTCTTTTATTTTATTTATTTTTTCACCATCTTTTCTGGGTCTTGAACAGGGGCTCCGCCCCCTTCTTTGTTCTTAACTTCTTGCATTTTTCAGCTTTTTTTTTTGTTCTCATCATTGKTGTCTGAAACAGGGGCGGATCCCTTTCTTTTCTGCTTCATATTTTTCTTTTATTTTAATATTTTTTCACCAGCTTTTCTGGGTCTAGAACAGGGGCTCCGCCCCTTACTTTTCTTCTTTTGTTTTAGTAATTGTTCTCATCAAGAACAATGGGTTCCATCGCCTAGGTGCCTAGGTGCTCCGTGCTCGCCTAGCCTAGCCTTGGCACCTTGAAAACTATGGGTTTCAGGTTGAAGGTTAGCTGGCCAAAACGATTGAAGTTAACAAGATGGGGTTGGTTAGACTAGAGGTATGTGACATTCCAAGTGATCACATGCTGGTGATAAAGAAGTTGTCAATAACTTATTAGACAGTTGTCACTGTCTACCTTCTTCATCCAGAAGAGCTTGACATATGACAGTAAATAGTGGCAAATTGATCCTCCAATGGAGGCCACTACCATCCACCACATTGTAGCATGTAGGTAAACCTAACCCACACTAATTGTGCAAGGGAGGAGAAGACGATGGTGGAGATGCCTGATGGATCAATTATGAAGACTTCTGCTTGGATGAGACATCTAGTATTGAAAATGTAGATATGGTGTAGCAAAGTGAGGTGGACAAAGCATAAGACTCACTTGGTATGGAGATACTGTTTACAAGGGAGGTACAAGAGGAAGGTGAGGGTAGGGACAGGAGAACAAGTATTAATATATGGAGAAGAGAGTGCCAGGGTGTCTAGTTAGGGGAATAAACCCTGGAGATCACAATTGTAGAGGCAAGAGACCTACCACAGGGTGTACATGAATGGAAAAGTCATCACTACTCAGTGTTAGAGGTGGAAGACAAAAGAAAGGAGATGAAATGACAGGAATTGAGATTTAGAAGAGTTCCTGGAAAAGATATTGAAGGAGGCTCAACCTTGTCCAGTCTAAGGGCACTTACTTTCAGAATTGACAGTGAGCCCAATCCCTTATCCTTTTGATACTCGTTCTCTTCAAGGTAATCTCAACCCTGTCTATCTTTGTTTGCCTTGCTCACAGCTGTTGGATCTTGCAGTTACTCTAGGTATACAACCTCTTTGCTGCCTAGATATTGAAATGACAGTTTGTTTGTTTCTGAAACAAACATAAGAGATGAACTTTACAGAAGAAACATAAGGGATGAGATGGAGGAGTGTAGTGCTTGGGAATAAGAGGAAGGAGAAAGGGTGTGGAGAGTTGTTCAGAAGTTACTTGAGGAATTGTTGGAGGTAGAAAATTTAGAGGTTGACTAATGAGGGGATTAGGAGTAATGACTGTTGTATTGATAATTCAGTTGAAACCCTCACCAAACCAAACCTATAACCATGTAAAGGACTTCTAATCTTTAGACCCTCTTCAAGTCTTTGCAAATCAAATGGGGTTGCACTTTGCATGAAACAAAGTTATATTCTTGAACTTGAAGGGAAAGAAGGGGGTGAGGCAAACATGAGAAGAAAGAAGCAAAATGARGTAGAGAACTTTAAGTGCAACATTTCCTATGTGAAGCAAGAGAGTGGGAGAGGGCTAGTAGGCAGGGAAAAAAATAGGACAGATGATTAAGAAGGGGGTAAACTTAAAAATTGATTATGAGCATAGTCAATTGGCACATTAGAGGTTTGGAAAGTGCTAGAAAGAGGCTTATGAATAAGCACTCCATAAGAACATATCAAGATCTAGTGCTTATCCATTCGATCAAATTATAGGATGTGGATAGTAAATGGGTCTGAAACATAACGACGAGATTTCAATTAGAGCTGGGTGAACCCAAGAAACTGTTTGATAAGTTGGAATATTGTGGGACAGAAACAAGGAAGAAGAGGGTTTAGGACCAGGGAGATTGGTTTTGAGGAATTCTTTATTGTCAGGCAAGTGGCTTTGGAGGTTCCCTTCAGATATAGACAAATTATGGTAGCTGTTATTAAAAACATTCTTGGTCTTTCTTATAGGCTGGGATGCTTATTTAAATGCTACATCCACTTTGGAATGTCCTTGGAAGTCTGTTGCATGCATGTCAACCTTCTTACCTTAAGTGTTGATGTCTCCTCTGGAAGAAAGGAGAATTTTGGGAAGACCTATGGTTGGGGGATCTACCCTCAAAGGATAAATACCCTTCCCTTTATGCTCTAGCAATTACAAGAATAGAACCATTTAACAAATGGTGATGGGTCACCCTTCAGGGATCTCTTGGGAATCATGGGCTAAGAAGGGGGGATTAGCATCGGTGAAATTTTGCTAGTGATGGATCTCTTACAGTCTCTTGAGAATGTCTTTGAGAAGCCTTTAGCTTTAGGACTTAGATGTGGCTAYAAGTAATATGGCAGAAGTGATTATTTACATTCTGAAATACATTTTTCAGCATAATTTCTGCTAGTTTTTTTGTCCACTTATGGAACAAAAGTGATTTAAAAATTCTCCTGCATTAGTGAAGAATGTTTTTGGAGATTCCTTCTGATTTATATAAAACATTATGTTGCTTAATTTTTTTATCTCTATTTATACTGATATTCTTTTTGTCATTCTACTTTCTTCTGGTGCATAGGTGACTGACCTGCATCGGCACAAGATTGACCATATCACCATTCCTTCCAGTCGTGGTCCTGAATTTGGTGTTCTTCGCCGTGTTGATGATGTAAGTGTAATACTATCTCTGCGCTTTGTACATACAATCTGGTGCTATGATCATATTAGCCTATTGTATGTATCTTTTTGATTGTAATTTTAATGCTTCTAAAATATGCTTTTAGTAGAAACGGAAGAGCATATATGCTATTTGGCCATATAATTGTAGTAATTTTCTTGTATATATGAAAATCTGCAGTCTAAAGTATCAAATCCATTTGTACTAGTAGTTTTCTCACTAGAACTTGGTTCAAGGTGGATCATCATCATTAAGCCTTGTGCCAACTCYATGGGGGTTGACCACATGGATCCTCTTTTTCCATTCTGTTTTGTTCAGTGCCATATTGCACAAAAAGACAAATTGGGATACATGACAATGAGAGGTTGGCAAACATTTTAGTGCTGTCTGCCAACCTGACACATCCCTCCTTTATCCGGGCATGGGACTGCGGTTTGAGACGCGTGTAAACCAATCTCACATAGTCACACTTGGTTCAAGGTGGATACTTTAATATTGTCATGTTTTTATGTTACAGAAATGTTGCTTGTTGTATGRTTCTGATTCTAGAACCCAATGTAGCCTGATGCGTGATCAGCTTGTCTTTGCAATACACATTTATCATTTGGTTGGGCAGCTTGAGTTTTCTCATATAGTAGGCATGGTTCTTAAAGGTACCAAGGCGAGGCTAGGCGACAGTGGGGCACCTTGTTGTCTAGTCGCCTAGGCGCCCATCTAGGCGATGGATTTTTTTCTGTATAAAACATAGATCATAAGGTAATTCCCTAGGTACCATAACCATATTTCCTTAATAATTATTTATAAGTTTCATCAGTAAAGTATAGAGTTCATATTGAAGTATAGAAAAGTAACATATTCATGASAAGAAAAAGGAGGAAAAGAAAATTTAAAAAATATAGGGGCTGAACCCTTATTTTTGATATAGAGTTCATGTTGAAAATGTGTTGATTAGACAAAATTTTAAGTTCTTCCTTACTCATTGGTTCAGGTTTTGAAATCTTTGAGGGTTCAATACAGCATTTAGAGGTGTTTGTGTTGATTAAACCCTAACAAATAAGAAAGTAATAAAAAGAAATTAGTATATAAACACACAAAATGAATATTTTATTTTAATGATGTCTATTCTATAATTATAATGTCAAAAAATAAAGAAGTATTTTATAATAGAAAGTACAAAACTGCTTGGTGATTAGGTGAGGCGAGCCTCAAAGGGTGCCTAGGCGTTGTCTTGACAACTATGATAGTAGGTTGCAATGTTTTTATATCCAGATAAGATTTAAACGTGAAAGCTCACATAGCTGGCACTTTAGTTGTTTAGTCTGTGAAATAGTAAAAAAAAAGGATCCTGAAAGCATTCTCCTTTACTAGTTTGACCATCCGATTGAATCTGAGTCTGAGAGCTCTTTAAATTAGAAAAATGTTGTGATTCTACAAGGAAAATCCAACAATACAATAGTAGGTCTCATAGACAATAGTTATCTTCCCTTGGAGGAGAGCAAGGTTTTAGATAGGATGAGCAATAAGGAACAAGAGCAACTCCAAAAAGGAAAGGACAGTCTACAAGCACTCAGAATAGTGAGGAGGTAGCAGAAGTTGGAGAGTCTGTTAAAGAGAATGAGGAGAGAAAGAAAATCAAAAAAAAAAATTGGTTAGAGGTGGAGAGATTAATTTCTGATATTGTGGGAGATATTGAGTTAAGTGGTTGGGAGAGAAAAAAAGGCTCCCAAATAAGGAACTATCAGGTTTAAAGAGGGGTCTACTGATAGCTTGTAATTCAATGAAGATTATCAGTTGGAATGTGAGAGGTTTGGGGAGTATATGGGAAAGAAGGGTAGTTAAGGATCTTCTGAGAAGAGAGAAGCTTGATATAATAGTGTTGTAGGAAACCAAGTTAGCAGGCTAGATAAAAGATGCGTGAGAAGTGTGTGGAGATCAAGAGGAGTAGCTAGATACAAAAAGTCCCCAAGGACAATGAATGAGAGAAAGAAAGATGGAAGAAAACTCAAGAAGGATTCAGAAGAAGTACTTTTAATGGAGATCCCTTGGAGGTTGAAGTCAAGACCTAAATGGATCAAGAATGTGGGTGGGAATATTAAGTACTTTTATGCCTTGGCTAGTGGGAGGAGAAAGAATTTTGTTGCTAAGTTAGAGTTTGATTATGAAGAAGTCACAAATAATGATGAAATAGCTAGGCGGTTTGTGGATCATTTCAAGTCAATACTAAGGAGTCCCTTGAATAACACGTCCTGTGTTTTAAAAGCACAAGGTGCAAGGGCCAATTTATGCTTGAGGTGAGAGGCGCAAGGCGAGGCGCACACCTTTTTAAAGCAAGGCGCAAAAATACAAAAAATTACTAAAAAAATAAAATGGTTAGAAARTTCAGAAAAAAATGCCAAAAATTTCAAAAAAAAAAGCAAAAAGATATTAAACATAATATTAATAAGAAGTATAAACTTAAATTTTAAAATTAATGGTTTAAAAAACCTATTATCTAAAAATAAAATACATAAACATAACATGGAAAGCATATTCAAATGAAAATTTAAAAATAAAATCAAACATATAAAGCATTTTCAATTTGAAAATAAACTTGGATAAGAGCTATGTGGTGGGTATAAATATGATGAAAGGGCTATTGAGTCTATGGTAGAGTGTTTGAAATGTCCCATTGCTTCTTGGCCATTATCCTATCTAGGTCTCCCTCTGGGTGCTAACCCAAAGGAGAGTCTCATTTGGACTTCAATGTTTGATAGGTTTGACAAAAGGCTGGCGTTATGGAAAAAGAGTTATATTTCTCTAGGGGGTAGAGTAACCTTGATAAGAGCCACTCTAGCTAACTTGTTGGTTTATTACCTTGGTGTTTAGGTTCCCCTCTAGGGAGGCTAAGAAGTTGGAGAAATTAATGAGGAACTTTAATTGGGAGCTGGAGGAAGAGAAAAGGGATTACTTAATAAGGTYAGAGCAATGTTTTAAAATGCGGAGGCGTGATGCGAGGCGTTCCTCTACCTAGAGGCATGAAGAGTAGTTCAGAACACAATAGGCATAAGCCTCCTTAAGAGATTGGGGGGGGGGTTATGAGGAATAAGGAGGAAGGGGGAATCTCATTTTTCTTTATTTTTAATAAAAATCTTTTGTATTAAGATGAATAAAGTGCATGAGGCGTACGCTTTCGAGGTGTCAGTGCCTCTAGCATACGCCTTAGGGTGTTTTTGGTGAGCCTTGCCTGGAGGCGTGCCTCCAGGCATACACCTCCCATGCCTTTTAAAACACTGGGTCGGAGATAGTGTGCAAGAGTAATGAAGGTGGTTTGAAGATAAGAAATTTGGTTCTTAAGAATGTAGCTTTGTTGGGGAAGGGGGAGTAGTCATGGAGATGGCTTTTGGAAAGAGAGAGGTTGTGGCATAAGGTGATAGCTAGTATTCATGGTTGCTTGGAGAATGGCTAGGATGCTGCTGTATCATGTTGGGCTACCTTGGCTACTCCTTATAAAGAAGTTCACAATATTCTTCCTCAATTTCTTAACTCCGTTAGGTATGATGTTGGTTCTAGGAATTCTGTTTCTTTTTGGGAAGATGCTTGGGTGGGTAATTCAGCTGTCAAGGACCTTTTTCACTCGCTTTATTTCATCTCCTTGTTCAAGTATAAGATTGTTTCTAATTTTCTCCCTCTCCTATTCCCTCTCTATCCTCAAGGTGGAGCTTTGGTTTTTGTAGTGGTTTAGGGGATAATGAACTTGATTGCGTTTCAAATCTCCTTCTTGTTCTTTGTAATGTCTGCTTGGGTCCYTACAAACTGAACAAGAGGATTTGGTCCCCCCATCAAAAAGGTTCCTTTAGTTGTGCCTCCTTTTTTAAGTCCTTTTGTTCTTTCTTTATATTGTGGGCTTTTCCTTTTAAGGAGATTTGGACGAGGCTTTTTCCCCCTAAAATTGTTGTGTTTTTCTAGGAGGTGTTTTATGGAAAAATAAATACTTTGGACTAGTTGCAGAAGAAAATGCCTTTCATGTGTTTGTCCCCTGATTGGTGTATTTTTTGCAAAGCTAATGGTGAGGACTGCTTCCACCTACCAAGGTTCTAAATATCGATATAGGCCGGTACACCCAATGGGGCACATCGGTCTGCATCTTTGGCTGCCTCTTCTTTCTTTTTTAGTTTTTTTTTTTTTTCCAAACTGGTTTGGGGGGTCGGTTTAAGGCCTGTCTACCCCTTGAAATAGGTCGAACCCTGAAACACTCACTATTGGTGCATAATGGAGGGTCA